TATATATATATATATATATATATATATATATATATATATATATATATATATATATATGTGTGTGTGTGTGTGTGTGTGTGTGTGTGTATTTGTGTGTGTTCAAATTTGTCACCAGAAATTAACATGACGATGATGTGTTCTCGGTATTTTATTGTTAACTTTTTTTTTTGGACAATTAAATAATTTGTCTCGTTCCTTTTTCATTCAATTTCAATTTATGAGTGCCATATATTTAAATTTTATCGTATTTTTTAAGTTTTTTAAATTCTCTAAAATTTTGCAGATTTTTTAAAAACATTTTTGAATTATCTTACGAATATCATGTATGTATATTCGGTGATATAATGATATTGTTGAGACAATAAATTCATTATTATATGTATTATCACTTTATACATCAGTAATTTCTTCTGTTAATCAATTTAGACTATACTGTTAGAATTACAATTTGCATAAAATTAAATATTCAAATTCACTGACATGGAAAACGAAAAAAAAAAAGAATTATCATAAACATTTTTAGATTGAAATAATACTTTATCATGCTTATTCAGCGCAAATATTTCATGCACATACCACTGATAGATATATCGTTTGCAAAAATTATTGGTTTCATTTCAAATCTTTATAATATCTCATTTCTATAAGAAAAAAAAAATGTTTCGTCATGCTGCTGGAAATGAACTTAATTACTGGAAGTGAGCTTCATTACTGGAAATTAACTCGATTACTAAAGATGAACCTAATTATTCAGCCATGAGAATGTCTTCTTCAGAGAATACCAGAATTATCCCGTGAAATAATCACTTGATAAAACGGTTACTAATCATTTAATTGCTGTCAACTATTTTGACATGTATCCTGACCTCCTCTTCAGCATTTTCTTTTAGAAATTTTCGAAGAATTTTTGGTGGTTTTAGTGAAAATATATCAAAATTTAAATATTGTTAGTAAAAGGTCATTAAATTTCAGGCTGTTCTGCTAACCGAAAATGTCGCCCAGTAATTTTCCTGCAAATGGCTTATTTGGTTCATGCGTTGATTGGGTCGCAAATCTTCCAAATGAAACTTTCGGTATATTTTCCTCAGAATTTATCGTGAAATTTTTGTCATCGCACTGGAGCAAATTAACGATGAAGTTTTTTTGTACTGTTTGACACGGAAGTAAGAAGTTTGATAAAGGTTTATTGATGACAGTGATAGATTTTATTATTTGTAGATTATTAGCGGTTGGATTTCTTTCTGGCATAAAGGGGAAATTTAGGCTAAGTAGTTGTTGAATTGGAGTTTGAAATAGGAAGACTTGTAGAACCAAACTGACTTGTCACATACCGAATGAAGCTTATCATTAATCAGTAAAGGAAACTCCTTGTATAGTGCGTGTGGCTTATAAAACTAATACATTTCATAAAAGATTAATTATCAAATAAAAGACTGCGATTAGTTTAACGGAAATCTCTAAACATATCAACCATCGGTTAACAGATCAGAAAATATACCCATCAACAATATACCATTAATATTCATAAGCTGGATTATCAAACCAGCTGTAAACTAAAAATCAAAGATTACAAGGAGTTTGATTATCAAAGTAGCAATTCCTTTACCACAGTATTATGAGAATTGAATTGAATTAATGATTCATCACTTGAGGTTAGAAATTTTTTTAATCTTTTTTTTTTTTTTTTTGCAATAAATCAATCATTGGAGAAATATTCTAATTGTAATACACATACTTTGAGTGTTTCAACGTATTATAAATAAACGTATTGAAATAGTTTCTGTAAATTTTTCCCCTCAATTCAGACTATTCCATTAAGTTTTTCCTTTTTGCTAATACTTTAAAATTAGGTTTTTCTTCTTTTTGTACTTTTTCAAGTTTAATTTAAATAAATATACCTATTACATTCGTTATTATCGTTAACCAATTGAAACTAATAATAATGAAAACTTTTAACGAATTTCAGGGTGAAAATTGAAGATCGTACCGAGTACTGTGTGTATTCATAGCTGTAATATATACATAAGCTAACAATGTAGACACATATAAGGTCAAAGTTCACCAAGTGACATCCCCTAATATCATTGTGTTAATTAACGCATAAACATGTGCACGCTATAAAACATAAAAGCAAAAGAGTGACATTATTAGCAGACATAATTTTTTGTTGACTAATATCATTCCGTATGATCAGTTGCTTCTTCCACAATCACTCACATACACACATATACACACACACATACATACATACACCCACATACATACACACATATATACACATACATATAAACATGCGCATAAATACGTCAAATAAAGAAGAGTTAAATGTACAAAAAGGGACAGATGCGCATACAATCGAATCTTTACAATGAAAAATGAATTCCACCCCCTATTTTAACAGTCTCTTTTCTCTTCTTCTCCTCAAAATTCACATTCTTTTGGTGATTTCTACATGATCATCCAATTTGTTTCTTTTTTCCTCCTCATTTTCAATAAAATCTTCTATTTTTATTTATTATTATATTTCGTTAGTTTACTAAAGAAAAAT